GTTCGAGCTATAACTACCAGTGCGTACGACATAACAAAGATCGGTACAAGATTTTTTTTATTTGGACTAGCTTGAATATACCTCGATCAATCCTACAGTCTGAAATCAACATCCATATAAACCTCCAATGAACTTGAAAAGACTCAAACTTATAACCAACCAAATCTAAAACCAGTTCGACTACACAATTTTGTAGGCCTAGATGTGATTTTCTCTCCTTATCTCTCTATCTCTCTCCTATACCATAACTATTGGTAGTTACAGCTTTAAGTAGAGTATCTACGGGACTGTTTGGTTGTCTACATTTCTCACTCTTCATGGCAAACAAATAGCTAATTATTATCGTAGTATAGCATAATAAAAATATTTTAAGAACAAAAATATCTAAAATAATTAAATAATAAAAAACTGGATTAAAAAAATTGAAAAAACCAACAAAACCGAAAAGAATACGTCTCTTAAAAAAAAATTATTTCAGCTTAAGAAGTAAAACGAATTAAAAGACAGAAACACACCTGCGGTTTCAAATCAGGAGGAGAATGAGGAGAAGACGGCGAAGAGATATTACAACGGTCAACACTGAGAGTGGCGTTGACTGGACAGGAGGGCTTCTTTTTGTTAGCAAATCGAGAGAAACTTGAGGAAAAAGAAGAAGAAACTCCAATTCTCCTTCTAGTTCTCTTCGATTTACAGTAGAGTCCAACAAAATCAACAAATAATAAGTTCTTAGTAACTGAATTCGTTGTTGTTGCATTGACGAGTTGCGGAACCGGAGAGATTAATGGTGATTGAAGAGAAGCCATGAGAGAGAGTGAGTGATTGAGTAGCGAGAGAGGACGGAGTGTGGGTGGGTGTTGTGTGTGAATCGTGTGGAGAAGAAAAGAGCAAGGTTTTTTAAAGAGGTGGATAAAAGAAGAAAAAGGACCGGTACCACCCGCGCCTCTTCTCTTCACTTCTCTCCCCTGCCGTTTACCTGTAACCACACACTGCTCCTCCCTCCCTCTCTCTCTCTTACCTTACCTTACGTTTTGTTTTTTGTTTTTTTGGATTTTCCGTTCTTTCTTGGCTCTCGGGCTCACACTATTTTCTATGACTTTACGATCGTCATGGTTATGGATAGCGTCTCAACTCTCAAGTGCAATTTAATTTTAAATTCAAATTATAATGAGCCGTTAAAATATATTTAATAATAATATTAAATAACTCTTTATAATATATATTTTTTATTGTATTAAAAAAATAATTTAACCTGTAAAGGTCCTGCAAACTAGCGTTTATGAATGCGGGTGACTTGCTAAATAGTTAATGAGAGATTTTATTTTAAAAATATTTATAAAAACTAGAAAAAAGATATATTTTCTATTGATGGTATTAACGGTGTTGGTGATAGTTATCTCTGTGAACGAAGTTTTCGTTTTTAGGGTGGTCTCTTTCTTTCTATTCTTTTTCTACTTATAGTCTGCTCTCTGTTCCTTTTTTTTTTTCCATCCTCCATTTATTTTGTTTCCAGGCAAAAAATTGGATGCTTGGTATCCATCACATAAATTAAATGCATCATTATTATATTTGATATTTAGAGCCTGTTTTTATATTTTAAAAATATTTTTTAAAAAATTAAAAAAATTTATTTTTTATTTCAAATTAACTTTTTAAAATTATTTTGATGTTTTGATATTAAAAATAAATTAAAAATAATATATTTATAAATAAAAAAACTTTAAAAAATAATTTTTTTTTTTTCGTCGAGCATGTATATTTTGAAAAAACTATGAGTTTCTCTAATATGATTGGATGGTTTAACTATAAAATTAAACCGCGATTCTTGAAAGGTTTTTTGTAAACCTAAATCAACTTAATTAGTTTATCTAAAACTTTAATTGAAAAAATAAAAAAATAAAAAGTGTGCCTACCTCACAAATTTAAGGCTAATTCATTCAAAATTTAACCCTTAACTTGTTAATTTAAAAAAAAATAATTAAAATAATAATGTTATGATTATTTATTACATTTAAAGTAACCGTGGTTGAGGCAACCCTCCCAATTTACAACCCTATCAACCCCGTGCTGGGTTTCACAGCTATAAAATATTTTAAAAAAATATTTAAAATAACAATGTTATGATTATTTATTAAATTTAAAGTAACCGTGGTTGAGCCTCAACCCTCCCGATTTACACCCCTATCAACCCATTGCTGGGTTTTACTCTAGAGGAGGGATCATACGAATCTTTGACTCTCGGTTATATTATCGAAATTAAAACATACAAAGCACGTGGCAAGGTACGTATGGCGACAGTGCTTCTGCTGCTGCTGCTGCCGTAAACAAGGA